AGGATTTAGGGCTTTGGGTTTAAGGCTTGGGGGTTGGGATTTGGGGCTTAGGGTTCGGGGTTTAGGGTTCAGGGTTTAGGGTTTAGGGATTAGCTTAGGGTGTCTTTGTAAAATGAACGAAGAAGAGTTGACTTCCCGCTCCCGGCAGTGCCTTCCAGGGATAGGGGTTTAGGGTTTAGGGTTGTAGGGGGTTCCCTAAACCCTAAAACTTAGGGGCTGAGTACCCTAGCGCAAAAAAAAGCTAACCTTTTCAATTATGGTCGGGTTATATATAAACCCCACAAAAGTTAAAGGTCACCTACTCAACCACTAAGTGAAAGTCTTGAGGCGCAATTTGAGAGATTCCGACGGTTTAGGGGTGGCAACTACAGGTGGGGAGTTTAGGGTATATAGGGCTTCTATAAGGCTTCCATAAGGTATATAGACCTTCTATAAGGCTCCTATAACGGTAACTACCCACCTGAGAATGTCCTAGATTAGGGTTCAGGGTTTAGGGTTCCAGCTTCTGGTACATCATCCTCTCGGTAGTGCTGATAACACCCTTGGCTTTGATGAAGTTCATGATTTCACCCCTGTGGTCGGTAACAACCAAACTTTATCGATGAGAGGTGGAACCCAAATCAAGGGGCTTGGGGATTTTGGGGTTTAGGGGGCTTGAAAGTTTACGGTTCAGTGTTTGAGATTTCAAAACCCTACACCCTCAACCCTATTTGTTGTGGATTTGGGTGATGGGGCTTTCAGGCCTCCAACAGTCGTCAACAAATTGCTTTGTAGAGATTAGTTCGTAGTGCCTGATTAAAGGATCATGAGACGTAGTATTTAGGGATATAGATAAGAAGATAACTACAACGTACTTTGTACTTATACCCTTACCTACCAAGTCCCATGATCCCATGTAAATCCTAGAACTCTCCCACTTGTAGAACCCTAAACCCTAAACCCAGAACCCAGAACCCTTATCGATCTATCAGAGGAACCCTTTCAAGGAACACAGGGTTTTAGGGCCGATTATCCTACACTTGTAATGAGGCCCCCCCCCCCCCCTAAACCCTAAACCCTAAACCCTAAAAAACACAAGTATTGGTACTTGTTGAGGCGCCTGTGCTAAGTCCTATGATCCTCCAAGTCGAATCCAAAGAGAGCCGCTGGGAAGAGTCCGAGGCCGCTACGGGGGCCAGGAGTGGACGGTCTAGGGGGTGAAGGGCTTTAGGGGTTTGGGGTTTAGGGTTGGGTTTCGGGGTTTAGGGAGTAGGGGGTTAAGGGCTTAAATAGGGCTTAAGTTTAGGGTTTAGGGTTAGGGTTTCGGGGTTTAGGGTTTAGGGTTCAGGGTTTAGGGTCTGAGGCTGTAGAGCTTAAGGCTGCAAGGGCTCGTCGGTCTCAATGGGATCTTCAGGTAGCTCACCCGCTGCTGCATCCCTGTGCAGCTCGTGCCGGGCCATCTTGGCCTTGGTCACCTTCGCCTTTAGGGTTTAGGGTTTAGGGTTTAGGGAAAAGGGTTTGACGCTTAGGGTTTAGGGTTTAGGGTCTCCTTCGGCTTTTTGTCCCCGCTTTCGGCTTCGCTTTCGGCTTGCTCACCGGTGGCTTGTCGGAAGCCCAAACAGTTGGCACAGTGTTGTGGGAAAGCTTCTACGGAAACTTGAACAAGGAACCCTGGACCCTAAACGGTTTAGGGTTTAGGGTTTAGGGCTAGGGTTTAGGGTTTAGGGTTTAGGGCTAGGGTTTAGGGTTAGGGTTTAGGATTTTGGGGCTTAGGGTTAGGGTTTAGGGTTTAGGATTTAGGATTTTGGGGTTTAGGGCTAGGGTTTAGGGTTTAGGGTTTAGGGTTTAGGGTTTAGGGGCTTTGGGGTTTTGGGGTTTGGGGTTTGGGGTTTAGGGGCTTGCTTACTATGACTTCCTTGCCAGGAACCCCCCCAAGTACCCTCAAATAGGGGTATATGGTCCCAAATAAAAAGTATTTAGGGCCCAATAGAGGGTAGATGGAGGGTCTAGGTGTATAAGTCCTTAAAAGGTAGGTTCTTCATTGTTTAGGTAAGGCTTGCAACAGGTGTTCTAAGGGCGATTCATAGAACTTACGGGCCTTCCTCCGGGGGGTCAGGGTGCCGGGGCTTCAGGCATAGAGTGGTTTGGTGTAGTTCTTGGGGTTTGGGCTGGAGGGCGTGTCAGTTTTGAATTTTAGGATCGCTTTACAGACTTTGAAGGTTTGCAGGATGTTTAAATCATTCCGAAGTTCTACTTACAGGGATTTTAGCTTGAACCATACCGACCACAAACACAGAGGCCCGCTACATAGATGTAAATCTGCCATACTCAGACAAGGGCACCGAAGCCTTCGGCCAAGCTTTAAAGTAAGCCCATACAGATCCGGACAACACCTGGCACCGTAAAGTCCTATCTACCTCGCCTAAGCTCTGGGGGAACTTGAGAGGCACATGGCAGGCCGTGAAGAAAACTTGCATAGCCCTTGTAGCAAACATGCCTTCCAAACATCACAAACTGCTGCAGCTTCTCGGCTTCGCAGCTTCCCCGCCGCTTCGCGGCTCCACCCCCATTTTTCCGACCCTCTCTCGAACCCTAGGACACGGTGTCAGGGAACACGATACA